GCAGCGGTTTGTGAACTATGGGTGAATATCTTTAACTTATTTTTATGGTGTTTTGTTTAAGATGATTAACTGATTTACCGAGTATTATATTTATCTTGTATATATTTTAGATTATTATATAGCTAAAGTTTCTACTGTTATTTTTGATTGTTAATATGTTCAAACTATATAATTCAATGGGAAGTTTATCTAGTTGTTATAAATCATAGGTTTTTTTTATCAAAAGTTTGGATATATTATCAAGTAGTGCTTTATTCCCTAAATATAGTTTTATTCATTCATTCTTGAGACTATTATATAGTTATTTTATACTTATTGTAGATAGATTTCTTAATGTTTTAATATTTATTATTAGTCTCTCTCCCCTTTCCAAACCAGTAAAATATTCCGAGCATATGAGAAGCCTCTGCGTTTCTACTCCCCGAGGACTAAATGAATCTAAAATTAGTTTCCAAGAACCGCTCGACTATGCTATTAAGGGATAACTTTTGTTCTTTTTATTTAATTTTTTTATTATTTTTATTTGCCACTGTTTAGAGGAATGTTGCTTCTGGACTCCAGGACCCTTTGTCTGGTGACAGTGCTGCCTTAATCCCTTAATAGTATATTATCAACAGTAGCTAGGGACCTATCAGTAGTTACAAATGGTCTTTAGGCAAGTGGGTTATAACATTTGGGGACAAGCGGTGGTTACGAGAAAAACAGTGAATATCATACCCTCCCCGGTCCATTAAAATAAGTCTTATTTAATACGACACAATATTTCCTTTTTAGTTACATCTCCTAATATTTCTGGTTTAATCTCAGAACACATGTGAGACCATTTAGGACATATTTCAGTACGTTAAAACACTTACAATAAATTGCAGATATTTGAAAAAATATGGATCAACAATTTATTTTAAACCTTTTTAAAGGCGAATGAAGGTCAATATTAGAGATCGAGGGGTAACACCAGATACTAGAAATCTTAATTTTCTATATTATTTCTTGACATTAATTTAAATAAATTTTTAGAGAAAACTACATTTTGCAGTATTCGTGAGTTATCATTTACCTACTGGATTTTGGTGTAATTATGATTTACGCTGTATATTTTCTATTAATATTAAATTTAGTATTTTAAATAGAATATTTTTTAAATTTTGATGCTATATTTTTTGTACGGATAAGCACCATAAAAGCAGAAAATAAAAATTAATTCTGAACATGAACATATCCAATGAAAATATTTAGCAAAATATCTTACCGACGAAGAATTTGTAAACATTACATAGCTAAAATTATTAGAATACTGCGACATCTTCGATTCTAACACTACTTCGCATTTGTTGGAGTTTGAAATTCATTAATTTTATTCTCAGAAGTAGTGCAGTTAAATCGCCTTGTAATCTGTGACCCAATTCCAGAAGTCTGCGAAGTGTTTCTATAATTTCAATTTTGTTGTCTTCAATTCCGTTATTCCTTTGGCTCATACACATTTTTAAAAATATTTTATGACTTAAATGTCACAATTATTGTAAATGTATTTCAAGTTGACTTTGGTATTTCGTAAAATTGATTTTGACAAAACAAATGCCCAGAAACGGACTAGATATATTGGTAACGGTTCAGATTTGTTTGGAGTCAAGATTCTAGTCTTCATGGTCAAGATCTATCATTCCTTCATTTATTTTCTCTTGTTTCTGGCCTTGATGTGAGTCACCCATTTTAAATCGCTTTGTCAAACTAAGTTAAAACTGATAATAAGCAGTTTAGATTGTTTTATTCGTGAAGGAGAACGTGCAGTATTGCCCCACCGCCTATTAAGAGTAAGATTATGAAGACTAGATAAATGGAGACGAATCGGCAATAATCAAATTTGAAATTTCTGTCCTTTTTTTTTATAAAGTTCGTTAAATTGACTGTAGTTGGCAGGTCGAATGTCACTGACGTTCATTTTCTATATAAGTCAATGTAAAATGAAGTGATTTTTTAAAAAATTGGTAAAAAGAATCTAAATAATGTGAAAAAAAGTACCTGAGTACAAGTAACATAAGTGACAAAAAAAGTTAAAGCAAGATTTACTTCGTTCCACATTGTACAACAAGATATAAATCATATACTGAAATACTGATTCCAGTAATGTGGGAATTGGAGGAGTGCTTTCACAGATTCAAGGGGGAAAAGAAAGAGTACTGAGTTATTTTAGTAAAGTGCTCTCGAAAACTCAGCGAAATTACTGCGTCACAAGAAGAGAACTCCTGGCAGTTGTGAAATGCGTGGAACACTTCTTCCAATACCTATATGGCAGGAAATTCTTAATCCGTACCGATCATGCCGCCCTTAAGTGGTTGATGCAGTTCAAAAACCCGGAGGGTCAAATCGCCAGATGAATTGAACGACTTCAAGAGTACGACTTTAAAATCGAACATAGAGCCGGAATAAGCCACAGAAATGCCGATTCCCTTTCTAGAAGACCGTGTCTAGCGGAGTGTTCCCACTGCAACAAAGCGGAATCCAAAGAAAGTGGAATACTAAGAACAACTGTAAAATTAGTCTCTTTTATACTGGAAGATGGCTTATTAAGGCAAGTACTTGAAAATGATGATGGTTTCGAAAACAAAAGACAGTTGGTCATTACGAGGAGTAGAGTAGCCGAAGTACTTCATCAGTTACACGACAGTCCATTAAAAAAACATCTCGGTGTTAAGAAAACCCTTCAGAGAGTTCGTGAAAGGTTTTACTGGATGAACAGTTCCGATGATGTAAAGGACTGGTGTAAGAAATGTAAGAGCTGTGCTATGAGTAATGGACTTCAACGAAAAAGGAAGTCTCCCATGAAGCAACACATCGTTGATAGACCATTTGAGAGGATCGCCTTAGATATTGCTGAACAATTCCCTACGACCGAGAATGGTAATAAATACATAATGGTGGTTATGGATTATTTTACGAAGTGGGTAGAAGTCTACGTCATTCCAAATCTAGAGACCGCAACTGTTGAAGATGTGTTGATAAAAAAATTTATCTGTCGATCTGGAGTGCCCTTGAAGATCTACAGTGACCAAGGCAAAAATTTTGAAAGCCAACTCTTCCGTAGAATCTGTGACAGACTAGGCATAAAAAAAAACAGAACCACAGCATTGCACCCACAATACGATGGAATGGAAGAGCGAATGAATAAGACCATTATAAAATATCTGTTAAAAGTAGTTTCAAACCATCAGTGAAATTGGGATCAGTATCTTTCGCTCTTTGCAATGGCTTATAGATCCGCTGTTAATTAATCAACAGGCCAAACACCAGCAAAGGTCCTGTTTGGGCGTGAGATGAGACTACCATGCCGACCTGAAGAAGATGTAGCTGGTAAAGATTATGTGATCCAGCTATGAAGAAGAATGGACGATATGCATGAATTGGTCCGCTCGCATCTTCAAATCGCCAGCGACAGAATGAAGAAGCGATACGATAGCCAAGTCACAGAAGGATGTTTCAAGGAAGGCGACAAAAATACAAAAGAGTTATTCTCCGAAGCTTCAGAGGTCTTGGGAATGTCCGTATCTCATCAAAAAAAAATCAATAATGTCATTTAGTGCACCAAAACCGGTTGGCGCCATTTGAGGGTGATCATGAAGAGGAAGAAGAAGTAAACCAGCTTCAAGAAACACCTGACCTTGTTTTTGAAGAATTTATGGGTGCATATGGAGGTACCGGAAAAGCAAGGCATGGTGTTATAACCGAGCAACAAGACCTGCTTACGGTTTCTAAAGATTACTCGCTGGTCCATAGCACTTCCGCCAACATCAATAACGCTCGAAGTCTGATATCTATATTCAGAAAGAAGTTTGGTCGATTGCCAGAACTTCAAGATCGGTTACCAGCCTCTGAAAAAGCATTGAAACTTTAAGATGGATCGCGTTATCTCTTCTATTTGGTAACATAGACCACCTTCCGAGATCGATCCACCTATCATGATATGTGGGAAGCATAACTCAGTCTGAGAAAGCATGTATTGGAGTTCAATGTATAGAAACTAGCTATGCCAAAGATAAAGAGCAACCAGCTGAATTGGGGGATCATTAGAAACATGGTGGAAGTAATCTTCCAAGATACCCAGGCTGAAATACTGGTCTGCAACCATTCTCCCAGCGTTCAGGTTATAGCGAAGACTGTCCCTTGTTATTTCCATGCAACTGGAATTTGTAGAAGAAGATCCAGTTGCAGATCATTCAGTTTTAGTTCCAGGAGGAACTATTTCTTAAGAAGAGGGCAATGTGACGCTGAGCCAACCCTGTGTAAGCGCGACCTTGGAAGTCCGCACTCGATTCACGATCGAAGCAACGCTGACGTCTGAAGACAGTCGAATCGCGTCTCGAATATACAAGAACGGGCGATGCGTGCCGTTGAATCAGAGATGGAATTTCCGGGAGCGTCTAGAGACTTCTCATAGCAGATTTCGACTTGGTATAAATAGCCCTACTCATCGGCGCACAGTTAATTTAGTATAGAGCATTGGAATGAAAAGTTAAAGTGTAAGAAATAAATTAGAATTGTTAGTTAGTGTCTAAGTATTATATAAATTAAATAGTACGTCTTAAATAAATTGTAAATAGTGTATTTTAAATAAATAAACTATAAAATGAATTAGACTAACGTTACAATAATTACTAAAACAAAGTTATTTATCCACTTAATGTTTTTTTTTTTAATTAGGATTGTAATTAACAATAATTAAATTAAAATAATTTATGGATATTATACAATTGCTAGGTCACAGTTTACTTTAAACATCTACAATGTGTTCTAGTGGACCGGACTGAAGTATAATTTAGGATTAAACGACTTACCTGTAAGGAGGTTCAATCATAAATATACGAGGTCCGGTCCACTAGAACACATCCCTAACCCTCCGTATAGAATTATTATTCAGTTGACCCATATGTGTTCTTAGTGACTTAGCAACCAAAATGCATAATGAAAGTATCAACGGGTCTTATCAGCAAGGTGGTTTTTTTCTAAACTATAAAAACTGGAGACAAATTTATCTACAATTTTGATTGAACTTTCTTACAGGTAAGTCGTTTAATCCTAAATTAGTGATGTTTTCTTGTGCAAATATAAGAAAAAAGTTTGGGGTGGTATATTTCATGATGAAATTCATTTTTTTTTTTTTATAGGTTTACTGCATTTTCCAAACAACAAAATATATGTTTTTTGATCACTGGGTTTTCTATAGTTTTTTTTACGAAAATTTACTATAGGAACTACTTATTCTTGGGTGATAACAATTTTTTTGCAAAACCATACCTCTGGATTTCTCGGCGATCAATTAATTCATTTTCGAAAAAAAAATTATATATTTTAACAAATTCCGCAATTTTATGCAAAGAATTCGTCTCTTATTTTTTGTCTAATTCGTTTACTTTTTGTGACCTAGAGTGTTATGGGCCTGAAATTTCTTACTAGTTTAAAGGCACCAGAAATATATCAATCTGATATTTTCGCGCGAAAATCCTATAAATTATTGTCTATTATTAAACAGTTTTTGATACTTAAGTAGAATTTATTTATAGCACTATCTAAATATCTTTATTTTCAAAATCCCGGGAAAACCTTTCATAAAATATTAAAGAATCGTTAAACAGAAAAAAAATTGGCTCGTTACATTTTTTATGGTCAATTATTACTATTTATAAAAAAATGCATCAACATAATATTTCTACTTACTTGATTTTTGTAATAAATTAATGTAATCCAACTGTAACAATCCACTTCCTAGACACTACTATACGCATTTAGAATATTTTTATTCATACATAAAACGTATTCAATTCAATTGAAGGCAATTTAACTTGAAATTTAGTTTTGAGTTCTGACCTTCACTCTGCCGAATTCGAAAGCATAATAATATTAAGCATCTGATATCTGAATATCATACGGCTTTGTTGACATATTATAAAAATCCATGATTCAAATTAGGTATGATAAAGAATATTTTTGATAAGAATAAAATTATGTATATGCCCAGGAAAGATACCGGGTCGGTTTACAAAATTAAAAAAATTTCCATTTCAATTGATTAAATAATCGTAATACGCTCACGAATAAATTAAGATTAAAAAATATTTTTTTATTCTTTAATATCAGAAATTAAAACACTTTTTTATACCTATCAAGTAAATAACAGGCGGATTTTAAACAATTTTTGCATATGGAACTGCAGAAGTATATTGAATTTGTCATTATTTTCTTGATAAGCTATTATTTCATGTATTTTTGTCCTATGAATCATTCAACTGGTCATTAAAAACGCTAATAGAGGGCAAGGGCGGCCCCAAGACGAATTTTCAGGGGGGGGGGTCACGGGGGTTTATATCATATGCACAATACGTAAACACGTTTCTGCGCATACTCCTCCGCGCTTGGGTGCTCTGAAGTCCGTTTTACAATAGCAAAATTGTATTAAAATGTAAAGCACATTGATTAATTAAATAACATCTCGTTCAGTAACACACAAAAAGTGTTGTTTCAAAATTTTAATTCATATATTATAACAAACTAAAAAAAACATACCTTCACTTAGTTATTTGTACTATGTGAAGATGGCTTTCTGTCCGCTGCATGACTGCTGGCTGCCCGCTATAGCGGGCCCCGCGCGCGCTGTCAACAAATAACATCAAAATCAAACAAATGTATGGTTATGTTATGATTTGGTTGTCGACGAAAACATGTGAGTGGAACTACTTTTATTTTTTTAGATATAAATTATTTAGGATTATTTAAAATCAAGTAAAGGTATTTTGATGCTTTAACATGTCTTTACCAGGAAGAATTCATTATAAACGCATAATTTCTAATTGTTATAGTACATTTTATAAGGCCCATTCCAAACGTAAATTTTAAGAACAAACATTTTTAAATTTCTTTCTGATATTGATCAAAGAACGGAATGGTGTCGTATTTTAAACATTCCACTTACAACCCCAATCATTACACATTATGTGAAAATCATATTTTGATACAAAATTGTTTACAAACACAAATCGTTCAAGACTGCTAAAAGATTTGCTTTACCTTGCTTTAGCATCCTCAAAACCAGATACACCAAAGATAGTAGTACTTAGTAATATTGTCATCACACCTTCAAACAGAGTCCTGTGAGGATAAAGTTCATTTTAATAATATATACAAAATTAATAAATGAAGCAGAAATTGAGTCAGGCTACTAGTTATGTTGCAGGGTTTATTAAGAAACTTAATAGTTTTGACTGCAAAGAGTGTAAAGTTAATTTACAGACATGTTAGAAGACCATCGATACTTTTACTTATTTTAAAGAAAATTATGATAAAAGACGTTTTATTTATGTACAAAGAAATGTTATTGAATTTCTTTCAAAAATTCTTGAAATAGTTTCACAACTTTTGGGTCATATTGACAACAATTCAAAAAATTAAACTTTTTTGCCAGACCATGTTGATTTTAAATGGTTTACATCAGAGGCGACTCGTGGCCTAGTCTATGAGGAGACTACTTTTAAAAGGCACACCCTATATACTTAATAAAAATATATGTCTATAAGAATTCAAAAAGCAGAAATATTACATTGTATTCTAATAGAAATATATATTTGTGTAAAGTATATAGGATGAGCCAGCTTCCTCACAGACTAGGCCACAAGCCGTCTCTGGTTTACATATAAAGAACAGACGTCTTTTCTCATTTAGTTGAAACTTGTCTACTATTAATAAGAAAGTATTATAATGATAGTATGAGGGCTGCTGCAATGTCTAAAAGACAAACAAAATGATTTGAAGTTACTGCATTTAATTTTTTCTGTTTCAGTTTATATGGATGGTTGCTTTTGTCTGATTTCCTAAGATTCAAGAAGAATTTGTTGTTTTGTTTTTTGTTTATTTTAAAAATTTATTTATTTAGGCATTAGTTTTCATATCAAGTAAATTAATTATTTGTTATGCAATTTCTGATTTTTGTTAGCCAAAGATAGTTAACGTGCCGAAATAGTAATGTAATGTTTGTGATATTAGAGTAACTTTCTTAAAGAATCATTTATAAGACGTCCGGGAGCGCCATAGTAAATAATAATAATAATAGACATTCTTGCTTCGCATAAGCTCGCTTGTATGGGGGCGAAGTGCATGAAAAATATTTTTTTGTATTGCCATCTCTTTGATATATTTTTTATTTATTTTTCTTGGGAATTTTTAGTAAATATAATTATATAAAACTTTGTATGAAATTTATTTTATCCCTCATAATTATTTGTCATAGAATTTTACATTTTTATTGGGCATTTCATAATTGTTACAAACAGCTAATAAAAAAGGAAAATTTTAATTATAATTAAGAGGAAAATTTACTTAAGCAATTATCTTTTTCTAAACAATACGAAATAGAGCCACAAATATTTCTATAGTTTAATTTTACTTTTTAGTGAATGAAAAATATATACCTTCAGGTAAAAGTGAAATGTCTGTTTTTCTGGAGCCACTATTCCGAAATTTGATTTAATTATTTTCTCAATGTTTGAAATCTTTATAAAAACAAAATTTTGCGATTTATTGCCATCAAAATTTGATTAAATTTTGAAAAAGTGGCTCCAGAGCAACATATTTTAGCTATACGTAGGTACATGTTTTGTATTTCACTAAAAAATTAAAAAAATTACTATCAAAATTTTGTATGGCTATATTTCGTATTAGTTAGAAAATAATTGCAAAAGTAAATTCTCCTTTAAAAAACCCGCCAATTTTCAAATTAAATATAAAATTACGGGTAACTGCATTACCGACAGAGTAAGAGTTGATGGTAATACCGTTGTATGAAGATTATATAGTAGGGTAACCTTATGGACTTATCATTGGAGGACGATGGATATAGAATGTAGATGGCGACACTGTACTTATATCCAAGTCAGGTCTTTAGGTCATGTCTGTGCTTGAGTATGAATTATAATTTAAAATCTTCTTTTTCATTTATACTTGTCTTCGGTAATGTATTTGTATAGTTAATATTTACTATTGCAAATTATTACAAAAGGGTATTTGAAGGTCACATAAAATACCAAAAAAAATCAATATAATAAAATAAACCAGTTTTTGTTTGAAAAAGATTGAATGATTTAAGATTGGATGGAATTTTACTATAATAGGGGAACATTTTTTTTTCTATATTGTGGTTTGATTTTGGATTGATCGCTGATGGTTAATTAAAACTTGAATTTTACGCTGTTTATTTTTATTCACTTTTATATAATGGTATCAAATTAAGAATAGGACATGAACAACTGAAGATTATTGTTCAAAATGAGTCGAATAGACAAAAATAAAAAATGCTTGGATAAAATATTCTGAAATACAGGATGTTAAGTTGAAAATTAAAAAATTAATAATGGGTAAATATAAAGGCGTAGTTATAATTTTTTTATTCAATATAATTTTACTAAAATCGGCACTGACAAAATTTAACTAACAGTTTTTTTTGCTGTTAGGTAAACTTATAATACCAAACACTTTTAGTGAAATTATACTAAGTAATAAAAACATTTAAGCCACTAATTTTCAGTTTTCAACTTTTATCACCATTTGAAAACGAATCGAGTACCAATTTATGATAGCACAGTAGCACATTTAGGAGTATTATTTTCGAAAGGCAAAATTATTTTTCATTTATTTTTTTGTACATGGAAATACTTTCCTGCATGCCCTACAGTGATGAAGCGCTCAACGAAGGCGTCTTAAAAAATAAATTATAGAAAATGCGAATGTTAGATATTTGATTAGATAATTAACATTGACATAAACCTTCATTGCTCAGGACGTTAAGTGCTCAACTTTGGATTTCATAAAGTTCAGTTACCAACTACTACTATTTTTTCTGAACTGTTATCAAAATACTATAAAATTTAGCAGAAACATTGCATTAATTGTATTTTTTATATTTTTTCCAAAATAAAAAAGAATGTTTTTATCTGTAATTGAATCCGGGTTGGGAAATCCAAACTTGAACGCTTAACGACTTAAGTCTTGAAGGCACTTATATCAAGTTAATTATC